CTCCAGCGGGTGCCTTGGGCGAGGCGGCCGCTGCAGTGGCGGGTTTTACCCTGCCTGGGGGCCCAGGCTGTTTCCCCAGACCTGCCCTGCAGGTTGGGCCTTCTTTGGGGGTAGTTCACTTTAAGCTCCATCAGCCCCGAAGGGCCTTCAGGTGACGCAGGAGGGACTCCTGTGTAGCACGTGTGAAGATGCTCCTACAGAGTCTCGTAGATCCAGTGGTACCTCACAGACTCCGTGGCGGTGCTAATGTAAAGCCACATGCCTGTCTAAACTGTTGTCTGATCTGTAGCAGCCATGGATGAGGTATGGTCATAGTGACAAGCTAGTTGGCTGTTCCGAAATTCAGTTCTTCTCTTAAAATAACTAACTCTTTAGGTAATTGTGTATAAAAATATTCCATCAATACATTCATCTTTCAAACGTTCATGAACTTAATTAAAAAACTGCAAAGAGGAATATGGTTCTTAATGCTACTTTTGTGCTTCATGCAGAAAGTTTTGACACACAAGGTAAAAAGCATGGACAGATACTGCTGACCTCTGTATGTTATTGTTCTGGGTGACTGACTCTTGCAGGGATGCAGCAGAGGAAAAAAAGTGATATGTAGGTAGCAGAAACTGCTGGTCACCAGCAGGAGCTGTATCTGTGCAGGCTTCATAGCAAAAGATCAGTGCCATGGTATAGGCACAAGTAGATAGATTCTCTTTTTCAACTCTAGTATATTCAAAAGTGCTAGGTGAACAGCAGGGTTTTTTGTTATTTATTGCAGATATCAGCCATTAATTGGTGTGTGTGTATATATATATATACATGTATTTATATATACATGTATACATGTATATTTATGTATTTATATATACATGTATATATACATGTATTTATTACTCCTTCTATGGTTATATTCTATCCAGTGAACTTCTTAATTTGCCATGTTAGTTCCTCTACTGCCTTTTTTTTTAAAAAATAAAGGACAGTTTTTCTTCTATCACACATTTCAGTGATATGTTAAACAACTGTCTTCCATGCTTTTGGCTTCCCTCTTGAATTCCTGGGCAGAAACCTGCCTCAAAATTTTTGAGAAGTGGTCATCTGCAAGAGCTTTACTTCTTAACACATGGACACCATCAAGCTAACTGCTACAGGCTGTAGCTTTAGCTATGTCATCAAGCACTAAGACAGTTTCCACAGCACTTTTTAGCTTGGCTGACTGGCTGTGGTGCTGCCCATGCTTAAATTGCGTTCTCTAGGGCTGTCATCCTGCACAATTAGTGTTAGTGATTTTGACTAACATGGTTAAAATTGGACTGTGGCTTGGCACCCTCTAAGAGGCTGGGTAAGCTAGTCAGACTATAACTTCTTTTTTTCTTAAGAAAAATAATTTGCTTTGGTTGTTATATTGATTGAGTCTATGGCACTGAGTTGCAGCAAGGCTTAAAGAAAAATAGTAAATAAGAAATACACAAAACTGACTAAAATCTCTCTATTTATTTTGGCAGATGCTTTCTTTACCTGTCAAAAGAATGTGCTTCTGGCGAAGAGCACGTCCACCCAGGTAGAGGGCATCTTTGCTGCATCCAGAGGAAGGTCGGTGCCAGAAGAGCAAGAAGCCCTGCTCCAGCAGTGGCTGGAGCTTTCCCCAGCCAGTGACACTGCTCCAGCAGTGGGGAAAGTATCGGCTGCCCTTGCTAGTGACTGGTTAGAAGGTTCAGAGTTATTGATGACCAGCCTTAGTGACCTGAATTCGGCTCCAGAAGTCACGTGGTGTGCTGGTCAGCAGCTCGCAGAGCTCCACACCTTGGCATCTTCAGAACCACGAGATCATGCAGTGGCTGAACTGGCAAAATTACCAGCAGAGGAAACAGTGGCTGTCGTAGGCAGTGCCCCTTGGGCAGCTGTAATGCCACAGACGGATCACCAGATAGTTGGCTGTGCCACTATAGATGTAGAAGGGCAGAATGAAGACCCAGCTGTGCTGGCATGGAGCTTAGCACGTGATGCAGAGATAGTGCCAGTGGAGCCCTCAGCCTGGACCATTCAGAATATGGAACAGTTTCAGCCTCTTCCAGCAGAGCTGCCCTATCATGGTCAGTAGAAATAACTGAATTTAATGTTTAGTTTAGGATTTGCATTTGTAATAAACCTTATCAGGTTTGTTTTTTTTTATGTGTCTGGGCAAGATGAGTAGGTCTGGGCTTGCTGTCAGTGAAACATTGATTGTACATGTCCATACAGAATTGACAGGAAAGTGAAAACAAGTAGTGTTTGACAGGTAGTGAAAACTGTAAAGTGAATTTTTGCTGAGAGAGGGCTAGTCACAGCTAGGGTTATCTGTGCTGTTGGACTGATAGTTATTGATATACTCATTTCCCAGGAGTTGTGCCTAAGTGCTGACCTCCTATTACAAAAAGTACCCAAAATGTGGTTGAATTTTTTCAGTATGCTTGATGCTGGTCTTCTGTTACCCCATCCTCATTGACCTGAGATGATCCAAAATGACCTAAAGCCCTGAGGCTTGGAGGCCAGAACATTGCAGGTTGGAGAGTTAGACTGGCTATTTTCTGAAGCATAGAGGCACAAAAGTATCAACAGGGTACCCAGCATGGCTCTAACCTGGCTTCTTGTCTCTTGCATGTAGAGATTTTATGGAGAGACTGGGAGGATCTTTTTGTCCAGCCCTATGTGCCAGAGCAGGTCTCAGGAAACGTGCCCCTCTTTGAATTTCGGGTGATGTCTTACAACATCCTGGCCCAGGATTTGGTGGAACAGGGTTTTGATCTCTATCTACACTGCCATCCAGACATCCTGAACTGGAACTACCGCCTTCCAAATCTTTTGCAGGAAATCCAGCACTGGGATCCTGATGTGAGTAAGCTCCCGCCATATTAGCATCACCAGAATTTGAATTCCTTGTTTGATCTAACTGCATGTTTTCTTTTCCTTGCGTGCATGTGTGCTTTTTGTGTGTGTGTGTGGGGAGGAGGGGGGTTTCCTTAAAAAAAAAAAATAATAATAAAAAAAATAGAAAGTCCTTGGAAGATTAGGAAAATGCTGCCTGCTTGTAAATTTAAGGCCAATGCCTTTGAGACTATCAGAGGCCCTTGTGTAAGGTGTGCTGTGTCCCTGCAGAAGCTAGTCATACTTCGATAGCAGGGCTTAACTACTTGAAGAGTAGGAATGGATGAGGAAGAGGTAACTTTTTTTCAGGGGAAAGGACCAGCCTTAAAAGGCAGTACAGAAGAGTACATATGACTTCATAGTTTCCTCTATTCCCTGAGCCCTCTTTGGGTGATGAAGGGGCTTCTGCCTCATCACTGGGTAACTGAAAGAGAAACTGAAGTGACCTAGAAAATTGTACTCTAGCTGGGAAGTACAGAACAAAGTTGCAGTGCTGGCCTTTCTAGTTGCAGCATTAGTATGTGAGAGCACTTTTTAACTTTTTTCCCTTCCCCAAAACAAGGTAGCTGGCAAATACTGATGGAGCGAGTGAGGTCTCTGCCTTCCTTCCAGGTTCTGTGTCTCCAGGAGGTACAAGAGAACCATTACTGGGAGCAGCTGGAACCCACGTTCAGGATGATGGGTATGTCCTGCTGCTTAGTGTCTCTACCTCCCGCTCACAACAGCTGGCCCCAGAGTTCCTCAGCTCTATGTCTGCAAAGCCGCCAGGTTTGAGAGAAATCTCCCTGTTTCTTTAGCTGCTGTCTCTGCTTCTGAACTCTGCCTAGATATTTCCTCCTTCAATATACTTCTTATTCAGCTTTGTAACTTTCTCCCAGTTGACAGACCAGAGTGATGTAACAGAGTTGGTTCTGGTGTACAAGGAGAGAAAAAGATCCTTGATAAATGAGGATTGTTGTGACAGAACTGGCCATAATGCTGTGAGCTAAAGGAGCAGAGACTGGACTCCCAGGCACTGAGTCCTGTTGCTTTTGACTAGATAAGCAAAGAGCTGAATGAAGACTGATAAGAAGTGTTAGGGGCTACGTTGCTGAACAACCAGTGCTCTGCAAGTAGTTTTGTTCATTGCCTACTGAGAGCTGCGGACTTTTATAGTTATAGCTCGGATGTGTTGTAAAAAAACAAGCTGACAGTTAGCAAAATGAGAATGCATAGGTGTTGGAGAAAGTTTCCTCTTGCACAAGCCCACCAGATTGAAGGTCAGCCTCCAAAGAGTCTGGTAGGAACCTAAGAGGTAGGGACCTCTTCTACATGGTCTTGTCAAACCCTCCAACTAACAGTGGGGCTGCTGAGGAAGAGGCCACCTTCTAACTGGTGTTGGTTTCTCCTCAGGCTTTGAATGCTTCTATAAGCGGAGAACTGGGAGGAAAACGGATGGCTGTGCAGTGTGCTATAAGCACAGCAAGTTCCAGCTGATCAGTGTCAACCCCATAGAATATTTCCGGCCTGGTCTGGACATCCTCAATCGAGATAATGTGGGCTTGGTGCTCTTACTGCAGCCTCTGCTCCCGGAAGGCTTGGATCTGAAGATGGTCAGTCCTTTGTGTGTGGCCAACACTCATGTGTTGTACAATCCCCGGCGAGGAGATGTCAAACTTGCACAGATGGCCTTGCTCCTAGCAGAGATCGACAAGATTGCCAAAACTGCTGAAGGCAGCTACTATCCTGTCATCTTGTGTGGCGACCTGAACTCTGTACCTGATTCTCCACTGTACAAATTCATCCGTAATGGCCAGCTTTCCTACCATGGGATGCCAGCCTGGAAGGTAGGTGCCAAACAGCATAGGGATCGGATAGCTCTTTGCAGCATGCTGCTGCACAAATGCATAGCTATATTTTCCCCCCCATGAGGAAACAGTCACAGTATTACAGTTATTCAGGGCTCTTCTGTTATGCTTCCTGCCCTGCTGAGGAAAAAGACAAATGCGCGCGTGTTGTTTCCACCACTGCTCCTTTGGTTTCTCTTAAAGCAAATCAATGATACTAGACTACTTAGTTTCAGGTCCCTATGCTCCCTTGCTATGGAAGCAGAGCAGAGTACAAATTCAGCAAGAGATACTGGAATTTTTATGGTGTTCATTGTGGAAATAGTTTTGTCCCTGACGTGGGCACCTATGCTAGATCTTCCTGTGGTTGTCTGTTACTGAATATCGATGCTCAAATGCATTGCCAGCTTCCGAGCTAAATCATTATTTTGCTAGTAAAAGATACCTTGCAGACTTCTGTCAGGTGACTTTTAGCTAATTGTGCTTCTGCCACCCCAATATCTGAGGATTTATTATATCAGTACTCTACCATCTTCTAAATGGTTTATTTCCATGAAGGCATCCTGCCAGTTTGCACTTGACAAGTATATACATTGTCTGCAGCTTGTGAAAGTTCTGTTGCGGATGTTTCTTGTCCTGTTTCTGGCTTCCTTGTAGGTATCTGGACAGGAAGACTTTTCCCAGCAGTTGCACCCACGGAAGCTGCTGGCCCCGCTGTGGCCAAGCTCGCTGGGTGTGACGGACAACTGCCAGTTCGTCTCCGTGTGCCCGTCGAAGAAATCGGGTGAGCTCCAGTGTGCACGGAGGACGTGAGCTGGCTAGGGAGGCACAGTATGCGGGCCTTGCTCTCTCTCCCTGTCTCCCTCTCATTGCCGAGGGCCTGTGATGCATGAGGCACTTGGCAAAGATTATCTCTTTCTCCTATCCGTTTTCTTGATAACACGGTTTAAATTTAATATTTCTGGTGTCTGCCACTGTTCTCCAGTTTCTGTCATCTTTTTTCTAGTCAGGAAGTGAATGTTCCTCTACCAGTAACCCTTCCTCTGCACACCTTATTTATGTTCCTACAGTGATGCTTTTGTGCACTTGTAAACCACCTTTAGCAGCAACAGCTTCCAGTTGCAAATGTTTATCAGAAGGGGACTTGGGTAGTGTTTAGATACTACAATTATGAACCTATTGTCAAGAGTCCATAATTATTCTCTCCTCTAGAGAGGATTAAAAAGGAGCCCCCACTGAATAGCTTTTGTTGGAAAATATGTGGATGTAGAGCTTATATTCAACTTGATCTCCAGAACTGTTGTTCCTTTTTAGGTACCCGTTTCCTAGGGTCCCATGCTAAGTGATCTCCTTCAATCTGTAACTTGTGATGTTCCAAAGGAGACATTCTTAGTTGTGACATCTAGGTGCTGACAGCGATGGCTGCATTAGCAATAGGGATTGCAGTAACTGGCTGTGGCCTGAGCTGAATTCCTCTACATTAGCACCTCTGTTCTGTGTTTCAGTTTTTAAGTGATTCCCATTCTGATGGTATCATAGTGTTTGAAAACCAAAGTGTCCCTGGAACAGAAGTCTAAGGAGAACGTAGATAGACCCTGTAGATATGATTGTTCTACTGTTACTTTTTTTTCCCCTCTCTTTTCTTTAACTAGCCTTTTTCTTTGCAGACAGACGTAAATATAGCCGGGACTTTCTGCTGCAGTTCCATTTTTGTGATGCTGCCTGTGAACGACCACCACAGTTGATCTTCTTGGAAGGTGTGACAGATGCTAAACCAGGTATTAATGAGAAATTCTCTAGTTCATGGCTCTCCTAGCTGGATTTGGATGAAAGACTCAGGTGGAGGTAACCTTTGGTGAGGAAAGGGGGACTATCACTCTCTTTGTGATTACTAATGGGTTCTGTGGGAGCTCAGAGGAATGCAGTCCTACTGTCCTTACATAGCAAGCCTGGCAATACTGTGTGCCTTGACATGCACTGAGTTTCAGCCTTTTTTTGAAGCTGTTTTCAATATAGCCATATATATATATATATATATATATATATATATATTTCTCTGCTTCAAGATTTTTGTGAAGGCAAGACAAACCTGAGGATGTCAAGCCACACTGGCCACAGCATAAAGGTCCCTGTGTGCTGGTACCCAATATACACAGCCTCACTCTGGGCTTTGTGGCAGGGTTGGTTCTGCTCTATTTATGTTCTGCTTTTCTGGCTGGCTGTTCTAGATGGGTAAGATGTAGGCTGATACAGGTGGAAAGGTTGAAGTACTCTGAACTTTGATAGTATTAAATGCCCTAAGGGCATGTCAACAGGACAGAATTTTGGTTTCTCAGCTGTTTGCAGTGACCCCTTCTTAGCATTCCTGGAAGTCTTGAGCTGGACTTTCCTTCAAATGTTTTTCTTGAAAATACTTCTAACTAGGTAAACTATCTGCTCCTTTTGGGCAAAAAGACTTGTATGGTCTCAGAGGAGAAACTTCTAACTTAGGTTAAGCAGCCTGTTCCAGGCTTCTGTAGGACTGTCCGAAATCTCTCTGCTCCTTTACAGACCGTCCTGCACACTGGCCCAAGCATGCTGCTGTGGTGAATGACCCTGATTCCCAGCCCTTCTTCCCAAGGTAATCTGGTGCAGCTTCCTGTGGGGAAGTCCTGTCTCATGGTCCTGACCAGTTAAAGTCTGGCTGAAATAAAGACTGAAATAACTGGGAGGCTGGCAGAGAGTAAAGGCTGTCTGGAGCAGCTGGAGCCACACAGGGTTGTCCCAGTATCTGGGAGATGAGATCCAGAGTGAAGGACGTAGTCACCACTGGGTATTTGGGAGAAGGGAAGTTCCTAGTTTGCTGTGTCTTTGATGTAAATAAAGTGAATAATACTGAAAGACTGTCTCTCCAGATGTGCTCACAAACGTAGAAATAGCTTGGACAGTTGCATTAGCAAGGGGATATCCAACTTCAGCTGTGACTGCAACACTGCACATGGCATTGTGTTCTTTTTTCCCATTCTAATAAATGCTGGCTGTTCATATGCAGATCTTCAGGTGTTATTCAGCACGGTCTCAACCTGACCTCAGTCTACAGTCACTTCCTGCCACAGAGGGGGCGCCCAGAGGTCACAACCATGCCCATGGGGCTCGGAGCCACCGTTGATTATATCTTCTACTCAGCAGAGCCCATGGAGAATGGGGACAGAGGCGGTGAGTGTGGTAGCGTGGGGCTCGTCGTTACTGGGTCAGGAGAGGTCTCTATGGCACAGCGGAATGCAGCTTTGTGGTGAGCAGTGCATATCATTGAGTTGGGAATGATGTACAGGGTGTGCCTGAGACCAGAATGATGCACAAAGAGAAGCAGCATTTCCTCAAGTATTCTAAGACACTCTATATCTTTGCTGTGGAATAGCTAAAGCTACTCAGTTGAGGTTCAGTTAGGTCTCTGAGGAAGCCAGAAGATAATGTATTCTGCTTCATGAGCACAAGTATGTACTTGTGCTCTTAATCATAAGCAGTGCTGAGTCCCAAAATCAACGTTTGGACTCTTGATCTGACTGAGACCCCACATTTACCTTAAAAGGAGGCAGCTTTAGTTACCTTACTTTGGCACCCACCCCTCTACTGCCTGAGACAGGACTGGGTTGGTGAAGGACTGCATGTGACTGCCTCTGAGCTGGTTTGGATCAGATCAGAATCAACTTTGGGGGAGGCAGGGAGGAATGAAGAGATCAGCTGTTTCTCAAAGGAGAGCATAACGGCATCTCTAGGAGTAAGTGCAGTGAACAGGAGCTTCCCATGAGTCTGTGGGGTGACTTTAGCATATACTGAATTCCCAAGTATATATAGAGTCCATAGAAGAGCAGTATTATACAGTGCTCGCTGCTTTCACAGCTAGGCTCAGAGGTGCATGCAGTGTTTGTGTAGGCTGGCTGCATCAGGAAAAGGCTGGAAGAGCCTTGTCAAGCCTCCCTCTGTGGCTGTATAATCTATAGCACAAGTATCCAGATGATGTTTCATTTCCTTTTTCTCTGTCAGGTCGCAGACTGTACCAGGATGGAGCCCTGAAGCTGCTTGGCCGACTTTCTCTCCTCTCTGAAGATGTCCTGTTGATGGCAAATGGCTTACCCAATCCTTTCTGTTCGTCTGATCATCTCTGCCTGCTGGCTAGCTTTGGCTTGGAGATCTCCAGCCTCAGAGAGGGTTAGTGTTGGTCCCCCTTCCCTAAAGAAAAGCTGTTCTGAATACAGCAGTTGAGGCTCTGGATGCATAATCTGCTTGCAAGAAAACTCTTTTCCTTGTCATGTCCTAAAAGTCCCCTTCTCCTCTCATGCCCTCACAGAAAGTTGGGAGTGGGAGAGTTGGAGTCTTTTGTGCATTGATATTTTGTGGGCTCTGCAAATCTGAGCTGTGTTTCCAGCACACTTCTAGTTGTTTTCAGGCTTTATCATCTCTTAAAGAGATCTTTGGAGTTAACTTTCTGGTTTCCTTGCTTCATTTAGCAGATGTTTTAGTGCTGCAGGAGTCAACCTAACTCCTGTGTTTGCTTGTCCCTGGGTGAGACCTTCAAGGAGTCAGGCAGTCGAGGGGCAATGTTCTCTACTTCTAGTTAGTTAATTACTGCCAAATAGCTGGGCTTGTACACACCATACTCCTTCATGTCAAAACAAGGGTTCTTTTAAATTGTTAGCGATTAGTTTATGAAGCATGGTCCTCCTATCTACTGGCTGTGGTGTTGCCTTTAAGAACAGTGTTCCCCTGACTGCTTGAAAGTGGCTTTTACTTAATGATACATAAGGGCTGTCTTTCTGACAAAAGAGCTTGTAGACTTGAGCAGTTTCTATATGAAGGTGTCATTGTGTCTAAAGGGCTTGGGAATGGGTTTGCTGGGAATGGAGCCGGGATTCTACTGAAGTGTCCTCGGGAGCTCTAGAAACACTGCAAAAGCCTAGAGGCCTTGGGAGAGGCTCCATCCTTTCTGGCAGTCTCAGAACAATACCTAGTTCCTTTGGCACTTGTAGGAAAAAGATTTAAGATCCTCCCAATTGATTTCAAGTAGGGAAAACTGTAAGATATCAGAACCTCAGGAGGCCCTGGCTCTGGGAAGTCCAAAGCAGTGAAAATGGAAGACATGTCAGAGGGAACAGAACCATCAGGTGGAAGAGCTGATACTTCTCACATGCCGTGTTCAGTCTCTATGCCCTCCTTATCCAACTGGCCTGGCAGAAGTTAGGTAGCCAGCCTGCAGCATCCTACTGGTCCAGAGAGAAGTTCCTCCTGCTGCCACCTTCTGGAGACAGCCCTGTTTATGTAGATAGAACCTATAGGACTCCCTACTCTGTCAGGGAAAGTTGTGTACTTGGAGCCAGAACATCTGTAGCGCTGGCTGTAGAAACAGCAGAACTGGATGTGTTCCTAGGGCACATTCCCCAGTCTGGTCTGATTTCTGGTGCTCAGCTTTCCCCGGGAGAGGTGAATGCACTATTGGCAGAAGCACTTTCAACCCTCTGCTCATAGATGAGACAGGGAGATCTGGTCTCAGTTCAGGCAGGTTTCTGTGGAAGGGTACAAGGAGACTTGAAATATCATTGCTTTTTCCTGGGTTATATTGGGGGAGTTTCATGTTTTAAATGTTGCTTTCTTAATCTTATTCAAAAATAAAAAATTTGTAATTTATGAAAAAAACGACATAGTAACTGCAGCACCTTGTGCTCCTGGCAGCTGAACCCGACTTAGAGGAATGCAGAGCTCTGTTTTGTCTGACAGTTACACTAATTTCTTCAAGTACTCTTATCCTGTTTTTGTAATTGATTTTATTTGCAAAGGGGAGGGGAGGAAAGGGAAATCTGTGACGCTGCGAGAGCTTTATTTTTCTGCCATGCTGTTTCCAGGTTGCCAGAAAGCAAGCCTGCTTGCAGAAAACACCCCCCAGCTGCTAACATTGGGATAGGAACCTTGGAAGACGATGAAGTGTGTGTGTGTGTGTGTGTGTGGCTTTTTTTTTTTTTTTTTAAACAAAAAAAAACTGTGACAAATCTAGCTGCTGTCACTCACATGTTTGGCTGCCTGCTTCCCTTGTAGCTGCTGGCTGGCTCTCACGGTGAGTTGGTGCTGGGGGCGGGTGGGGAAGCAGCCCCTGGCGCCGCATGCAGAGGCCCCACCTGTGGCCATGGAGCGCCCCAAACAGCTGAGGGGAGCAGGGCCCGGCTGAGCAGAGCTGCAGGGCACCCTGGCGAGGGTGGGCACCGCAGAACACGTGTGTCAGCCCCCTCCCAGTGCTAGCCCATGCGTCCTGCCAATCCTGTGGCTTGGCATAGTTGTGCTTGAAAAACAGAAATGCTTCTCCTGTTTTATCCAAGCACTGGCTTTTCTTTTGGATAACTTGTATGATGGCATCTCTCAGAGAGCTTTTCTTGCATACCAGTATAACCTTCCAACTATCGTGTGTTGGAAAACCTAATATTCCATTGGGTCAGAGTACTATTTTCTCTTTCAATACACAAATACTTGGAGGGGTCGAGTTGTTCTTACGCAGTAGATGTGGAGTAATGTGCTAAGAAGCCCAGGACAACACATCCTGCCTGCAGGGCTTTTCATCCTCCTCTCTGAAGGCTAGACAGCTCCCAGAGGGCCCTGTAGCTCTACAGCCCTGGCTGTCTTGGGCATTTGCAAGCAACGCGCTCTCACACATACAGAACTGTGACTAGTGGCTGCATACGCTGCCTATTTTAGGAAAGGAAGTTATCCATGTTCTGGAGTAATTTGGAGATGGATCAAATGGATTTGGAGACATGTGAATGACTATGGGGAAAATCTGAGGAGTGGGAGGAGCTCCCACCTCTAAAAGGGTGACTTGTGTATTATTGTAGTTCTGGTGAGAAAATAATGTGCTGCTTTAAGAAAAGCACACTGCTGCTTTGAGAATATAGCGAGAGACCTGGTAATGAACAACTTGTGGATTAAGATCCCAGATGTAGCTCATAACTGTTTCCTGACTTAAATACATGGCTAGTTGTCATTCACATGGCTTTCTGAGGAATTACAAAGGGGCCTTAAATGGTTATGGAAGTGGAACAATGGGAATATCTGCCAAAAAGGGAGTGTATCATAAAGCTACAATACAACCCGCATCATCATCTCCACTGTCATCTTCTCAGTGGCGGTTTGGCTCTCGGGGAGATCAGTGCCCAGGGAAGCAGATGCCCAAGGGCCCTGGCAGCAGCGCGCGTGCCCCGCTCCCGCACAGCCGCGGAGCCCTGCTCATCAGAGCCTCAGCAGAGCCGCAGCTCAGGCTGCACCACAGCTGCCAAGCTGTGCTCAACTGTGCCACCTAGAAATTGCATTTCTTTAACTGTCTCAAACTCGTCAGTTGTTTGGCACTTCAGGAGGATGGGGGGGACAGGAGGAGGAGTAGATAATGTAACTGCTCTTAACTAATTAATTTATTTATTTTCCAAAAAGTGAGTCTTGGCTGCTGTTTGAGATCTTGGCTGTTGCTTGAGAGCCTTTTCCTTATGAAGTCTCCCTCTTGCGGCTCTCTTCCCAGGACTGCCGTATCCAGTTGTCTTGTTAGGTTACTGATGATTATTTTTTCTGCAACTGCATTTCTTTAGGTAGAACCTGTGGCTGAATTCTTTAAAGCTGCCTTATTATAAATTCAGCATATAAATACTGTAGAGCCACAAGAAGGTGTGATCACTGCTCAGAATGATGAGCTGCGTAAAGAGTCCACAAAGCAGGGTTGTTTCTCCTCCCACTGCCATCACCTTGCTAATGAATATTATTGGAATGCACTGCCAGGGCTTTGCAAACACACCCAGGACTCATCCAAAGGAAGAGGGAGCCTTTGAAGCGGAACACGTGCAGACCTTCCTGGGATCCCAGCTCCTCTCGGTCAGCTTCCTGTTGTGCCAGTTAATGGAATTACTGTCTAGGAGGCTCTTCCTACCAGGTTGTAGCGGCTTTTTTCGAGTGCTTTCCGTGGCTCCGGTGCACTGGAATGCACACTCTGCAATCGCTACTCTGCAATTGCTACTATCCAACTCAACCGCATCATGTTTCGAAGTACGAGATGTTGGAGTGTCCATGGAGACCTCACCTGCTGTGCTGATAACACAGATGACTGACTTGGTATCTGACATGCCTCCAGCTCCCTCCTTTTGTCAGCTGCACATGCTTGGCATTTCCTGTTAGGGCAAGTCATCCTCCAGCTGCCACTGAGAATGTCACTCTAGTCCTGAAGCTTTTTTTCTCTTTTCTTTTAATGGCAGATCTGGGCTGCGCATTCTTATGCTCTGAGGGAAAAGGAATGCCCTACAGTGGAGCTGGAAAGTTTCTTTTTTCCTAACTGCTTTCAGACAGACACAGTTTTCAAGGTGCTCAGGTAGCAAGTGCTGTTTAGTTTGAAGGCTGACTCAGTTTTCGGCTGCGTTGCTTTGCTCCTCCTGGATGGAAAGCCGGCTACAGCAACCCGGGATTTATTCAGTTCTTGGCTACTTTCAGCAGCTGTTCTCAAGCTAGGAGTAAACAAATGGACTAGCTCTTCTAAAGGCTTTCTTACTTTTCCTCCTTTCCCCCTCCAAAAAAAAAAAAAAAAAAAGTGGGGTGGGAGGTAGCAAGGCAGTCACCCCTTGGCAAAATAAAAATGTAAACCAGGAAAGTCAACTCAAAAGAGCAAGCAGGACAGTGGAGACTTTAGTTGTCCATAGCAAGTCTTCTGCCTTTTCACAGTCTTGCCATCTGTACACTGAGAGAGTTCTTTGAGATTTGGTTTCTCCCTACCACCACCATTATTATCCTGTATGCTTCTAGGCATGTGAGCCCCTTAAATTTTGCAGTCTTGGACTTCTTGACGATAGCTGACAAGGTGACCAATAATATTACTATTTTTATTGATTTATTGAGTTATATTTTTGTACAGCTTCTTTTCAGACTCTTTTCCACAACAAAGGCTTTGTATTAAGGTCTAAATAGTGTAGACTCCAACTGATTTAAAAAGTTGGAGCTGTAGAAACTGTCAACAACAGGATGAAAGTCTGATCTAAGAGTGAACAGAAAGTGTTATTTTTAAATCTCAGCTGTGGATGAGTCTCTGCTTTACCTTTCTGACTCTTTGTCAAACATTCAGCCTGCCCCATATGTCTACTGGGGTTTTACAGGCTACCTGGTTTTTAGGAAAGTCAGACATGGGGCAGAGGGCATTCTCAAGCAAGCATCTCTGTGATCCTCCACTGAGATGAAGTAGAAGTTTATAGAACTTGGAGCATTTTATTAGAACACATGGAGCAAGAATTTTTCTACTGCTGAAGGACTGTTGTGAACTTTTGGGCTTGAGCCCAGTCTTTGCAGGTTTATAATGTGGTACTATTCTCTTTTGCAGAGCACTTGATAGGGCACAATTATTTTCCTCCCCAAGGCAGAAGTTGTTATACAATTTAACTTGGCTAAGAGGGACTGCTGCATGTGTTGCCCCTCTTTGGAGGGGCAGGGCGAGGCGGTGCTTATTCCCTAAGCCCTCTTGCCTACGTCCTGGCCCTGGGCCCAGCTATTACTCATTTCCTGAGAGAAGGGTATGTTGTGCCTGCAAAATGATACCTTGAATAAAGTTGGATCCTCCTCATTGGGGAAACGCAGCTGGTCTCACAGCTGACGGTCCTTTATTAACCCAGCATCTGCTGTGAGAAGGCCTGGGGAGTTTATGAGCCTGGCAGGCCACTAATTTTTTAAAATTATTATTATTATTATTATTAAACACAGTTTAAGTATTTCAGGCCAGGAAAGGAGAATATGTCATGTGTTGAAGATGGTGGCTTGTGTCCA